AACAAAATATTACGTTATCGTTATAGAAATTATGTGATGGAATTAATGCATACATAGTTTTTTGGAACTACTGAACCGATTCACCTACATACTGTGAGCGGGGAGTGAGTCTATATTAAAATTTTCTGTCATCGAATTGAATTCTGTATATCAGCACAACATAGCATATTTTGCATGAAGATGAAATACAACGTTATACGATTTCTAAATTATCTGATAAAATAAATATTTTGATTTGAAGGAATCAAATTTAAACGAAAAGAATTTTATTCGCGATGTCATCCGAAAAGTCAGCTCTTTAGTGGTAAAAGTTTAATTCCCTTACTGGAAATTCTTTAAATATCGGAAGGAAGCTATCAGTTCCATCATTCTTCAACGTAGTGTCCTTTTGGGTAAAAAACAGCACGAAGCTGACCTGGGTCTACACCTTCCCTTCTCCATGTATCTTAAATGTGCAACGATTAGCTAAGCACATGGATATATTTGCCTTTATTTTCACACATGGAGAGTAATTTAATTGTCCTGTGAAGGCATTTTATATCATCCTCTTCATTCCAATTCTAGTTCCCTTCTTCCTAAAAATCATGGAAGAAAAATTGGAAAACCTATGGGCTGTTTCTTCAAGTCTGGCCGTTCATAAGAATACAGATGTTCAGGTAGAGGAATAAGGATCGTAGTAGCCTTGTCTGGACCACAGAGTTGCCCCATACTGTAAGTAAAATAATGCCGCGCCATAGCTCAAGCGGTTAATCGCTGGTTTCCCACCGCGGCGGCCCGGGTTCGATCCCGGGTCTGGTCAAGAGGGATTTGTGGTGGACAAAGTGTCGCTGGGGCAGGTTTTCTCCAAGTATTTCGGTTTCCCCTGCCAATCTTCATTCCACCAAATGCTCCACAATCACCCTCACCTATCATCTGGTGCTGGTACAATAGGCCAGAAATGGCCGCAGTATAAGGGCTTAGTCCCACCCCACTAGCAATGAAGGAAATAAGTGAATTAATGTTTGTTTTCTTTTCAGTGGCTCTTCCAGCACATTCGAGGCCCTGGCCTTTTATTCCTTTCCATAATTATATTTTCACAGACGGTAGGACTCCTTGGACGAATGATCAGCCCGTCACAAGGTCTCTACCTAAATACATGACAACACAAACACATAATAAAATCATACACACATCAAATACTCATGCCTTAAGTGGTATTCGAATCCATGATCCCAACACCTGAGCAAACGAAGACAGCCTTAGACCGCGCGGCTACTGTGACCGGCAAATTAACGCCTGTACCGGCCTAAAACTACATTTTTCAGCGTATCATGTCTATAAATGTTGCCCCTATAAGCTCACAATTTCTTTCTATCTTAACATGTGTTATTTTCACTGATATATTAACTATATATCTATGCTTCTACATCCCTTTGTTGGAGCTTGGTCGCTTTTCAGTGTCTTAATCCTATACACAGTTCGCAGGACCCCTTGGAGGGGGGATCAGCCCATCGCAAGGTCTCTTCCTGTACACAGAACACAAAAATAGAATAAACGCACACAGATATCCATGTTTTGAGTAGGATTCGAACCCATGACCGCAGTGTTCGAGGCGGCGTAGACTCTTCATGCGTCAGACCGCGCGGCCACTTTGACCGGAACGTATTAACTACCGTCCCAAAAACAAAATGTGTAGCTATATCCATCTATGGTATTATCAAGTAAATTAGTTACACTGCATTTTAATGCATTGCCGGTGATTAAGAAAGAAGAGGTAACTGCTATGATTTAGGGCCGAATATGGGCATCAATCTTCGTACAACTCTATGTGAAAGACAGAGGCAGACCCCGAGGAAGGCGACCTCCAGTCAGCTGCTTAGACTGGCCGCACCTTGACAGGGAATTTCAATGCTGGAGCATGCCAAAAATACTTACCTACAAACTACTTTGAGAAGCAGATCTTCTAGAGAAGCACACGTGTTTCGATGCGTCACATTACATGCACAATCAATATATCATCTTCCGCCAATCAACATCTGTTAGTTCACGTTTCATTCCAACCAGATGACATATACGCTGTCAATTGGAATTTTAATTCATGTACTCTGGGGCAGCTGACGTGCACCGTGATTAGACGACCGGTCTACCTAATCCAGGTTTCAAACCTTGTTTTGTAGTAACGTGGCATACGGGATAACTGAACAAAAACTGACATGTTCAGTGAGAATTCCAGATTAATCGGGAAGTCATCGACAGTAGGCTCACCGGCAGGAACTTTGTCAATATGTCCTTCTGTCGGAGCGCATGGTCAGTTCATAGTCGATTCAGCTGTTTTGGTAGTACAAGGGTACAAACATATTAAACAAAATTATCGCTTATTTCTACCATACATAATGTTTACACAGACATTAGTTCTATTTACTTTCTAGAGTATCGCTTATGATCACGTGGGATATCACGTGAGGGCGAAAAAACATTGTGATAGGACAGTGTTATATAATATATGTAATAATATAGTTCTGGATTGGAGAGTTCTGATGAAAGTCTCTGTTAAAATGTTTGATAAAATTAACCTATGAAAATGAATATAATTTTCGTCCAAACCGTGTAACAAAAACTGCTCCTTTTACAGAAATCCGTAATTCAAAATACTTCTTTAGGCGCAAAATCTTGATTAGAGCAAGATCTGCCTATATTGTAACGGTTTTCTAGATACATGTTAAACTAGGAAAAACTCATTATATCGGGGATAAGCCAATCTTAAGACTTCTGTTCCCATACAAAAGTTAAAAAATGAAGACAAATACGTAAAAAATAAGCTGAAATATAACACGTAATCAGCATAGTTTATGAAAAGACCCTCCTTTTGAGATGTGACTCTGTGTGTTCTGGTAGGGAGTTGTCAATGTTTCTGATAATTACACTGTCTCCTTCTTCAGGGTAGAAATGTGTTGAAGGTGGAGGCACCAAGATAGAACGGCTCTGAAGATGGAGGAAGCAGATTCATGTGAAACGCCGACAGCAGTCTATCAGACTACTGGCATCATGTCCTAAAGCACTGAGTCATAAAAATTTTATCATCTTTTCAACATCTAGGTCTATACTTTATTCACTATGTCTGTGGACTTGATATTACGACTTGCATTGTTTCGAGAGGAAACGAGTGGAAAACCTACTTCACAGTGGGCTGACCTGGGTAGTGCAAATGAGATGATAATTTATAAACGCCACTCATATCACGTGACAACCGAATCACGCTAAATCCCTTAAAGTGTATCACTATAGGTGACTTTTTACTGATGGTTCCCAGATAACGTAGCAGTCTGCTGTTGGAAACAAAGACACCTCGTGAACCGCGCTTGCGGGATCTTCCTTGGACCCAGACTCGTATACAGAACGGATTCTCTTATTCAGTTTCGTGTACAATGGCGGACTTTGTTATTGCAATTAGGCCTAATGAAATGGCTAGATATGTTATCAAGGAATGATTATATGCATCAAGATGGAAAAAGTTGTCCTCCATAACGTAGTACGCAAAACTACCAACAGGATTCAGAATTACTGGGTTTTTGGGCTTAGTTTGGGCTTTGACTCCATTAACGGAATTGTTTCAAAGTTCCTAAAATGAAAATGATCGACAAAAATTAGTGAAAGCCTCGTATTTCGAGATATATATAGAAAGGTTTGTTGGAAAATAAAAAAAAATCCCGAACAAGAATTTATTATAAATCAATACGACTGAAAATCTTATTCGTCAGTCAATTTTAATCAAAGTCTACATGTCGAATTTAAGCAAAATTTGTCACACGGTTTATGAATATATGGAGAAAGTCCATTTTTGGTCTCATGCAAGTTCACCTCTATTACGAATCAATATGGCTGTAAATTTAAACACCTCGACATTTCCTCGTGCAAGTATCTCATTTAGTATTTCAGGTTATGTTAAATAGTTTATAGAATACTTGTAGAACTCTATTTATAAAACTACGCAAACCAGGTTTATGGATCCATGTGACTAAGTCGCAACTGCCAGACAACTTCTAGCGGAAGTCTCACATATCGAATCCTAATAATGTTTCTCCGACGGATTTGCTGCTGACATTATGTACTGACAAACGCGCATACACGTTCTACATAAGGACTTCCTGTACATTGCAGAGAAAATCTAAAGGCAGCTTTACTGTTTCTTGTCCTTAGTGCAACCTATGTTTGTTTTCTCGTCGGCTGTCCAAAAACATAAAAATTAGAATATAGAAAACTATAATTTTGTCTGTGGTTATATTTGGGTGTGAAACTTGGTCTCTGACATTAAAGGAGGAATATAGACTGAGGGTGTTTGAGAACAAGGTGTTGAGGAGAATATTTTGACCGAAGAGAGATGAACTGGCAGGAGGTTAGAGAAAACTGCATAATGAGGAGCTTCATAATTTATACTCCTCTCCAAGTATAATTAGAATGATCAAGTCAAGGAGGATGGCGTGGGCAGGGCATGTAGCACGAATGGGGAAGAAGAGGAATGCATCTAGGATATTGGTGGGAAAGCCGGAAGGAAAGTCACAGCTGGGAAGACCAAGGCGTAGGTGGGTGGACAATATTAAAATGGATCTTAGAGAGATAGGATGGGATGGTTTGGATTGGATTGATCTCGCTCAGGATAAGGATCAGTGGAGGGCTCTTGTGAACACAGTAATGAACCTTCGGGTTCCATAAAATGCTGGGAAATTGAGTAGCTGGAAAATTGGCGACTTTTCAAGAAGGGCTCAGCTCCATGAGTGAGTGAGTGAGCGTAGCCAATGGACGACCTAACAGAGATTAAATTATTTTATGATATCGACTACGTATTGTAGACAATAGTTGAGGAATATATGACTGTCAAAGCGTTGCGAAATTACTGCGGTATATTTCTTTAACGCGGTTCATATCCTCATTTCAATAATTTATTATTGCATGAATACAGTAAACTTATTTTTCCTACAGCTACACGAAGAACCGGTACTTCTGCTTGTGAGTGAAGGACTCACCTCATATCCTTGCTTCGCCACCATTGACTGCCTTGGCCACGTGTAGTCCACTTCCTTGGCATGAGGTCCGCATTGCTGTAGAACAAAACAAACTTTAGAATACAGCAGATACTCACAACTCTACGTACCTTCTCTGTTGTCTCGTATTCGGGAGATTACACGTTACATTCTTGGTCGTGAGGAAGGTTACACTGAGCAGGACGTTTTTTCGTAATTTTCTAAGAATGAGACAGTACCTCAAACTGCCCACAACCATTTCCTTCCAAATCCTTTCTACCTCCAAATTCGTAATCTCCGTTTTATTTCGTGTTCATGATATAAATAATGGAGTTGATAAAACGTCGTTTAAAAAACAAAGAACTCTTTTGAGCATACATATGTTCTTCTGAATTTTCTTATGAAACCCCATTAATATTCATTCTTCCATACAATGGAATTTCGTGCAAAATAACTGATAGATTTACTGATTCTTACAGTCTTTAATACCTTGAAGCCCCCAGATCATTTAAGTAATATTACGTAGTTCGAAAATTTAGTTCCTACATCTCTTAAAACCGACCGAGCGACCGCCGCTTGTCGCCGAAGTTAGTGCCAACTTTAGCAGATAGAGCGTGTCACGTGGTCAGTGCAACGGATCCCCAAAGCCGTTAATTTCGGTTTCATAGACCGGAGCCGCTATTTCCTTGAAATAGTTCCTCAGTTATCCTCACGAGGCTGAGTGGACCCCGTTCCAGACCCACTAATTCTCAGAAAATCTGGTAGCGCAGGGAATTGAACCCGGAACCTCTGGATCTGTAGCCAGGAACTCTGATCACTAGAAGGTTGAAGTAGTTCGCCTGCGGATTAAAACCACGGAGTTTGTTTTTATTTATGGCACAGAACAGCAGCTATATTCATTATAAAGGCCAACATATTAATCCTGTTTACCGAAATAATCAGTGCATATCCTAAGAATCACGAAACACAAGAACATTTTGTAAGAAAAATGATTCGTTTAAATATTTAAACAATTAATGCACATACGTAACAAACCACTTTTATGTATAGAGATTAGTGACTCTGTTTCAATAACTGAGGCGAAGGAATAGGGAAATGGTATTGAAAAGTGAGTAAAAAGGTTTAACGAGGCGTTCATGGATTAGTTCAAGTTATTGTTCCTTGCAGTCTGCAAGAGACGAAGGAAAGCTACATATTCCACATCAGAAAAGTTGGTAACCAGGCTAGATTCGAAACGGGAGCCTCCCGATTACAAGTCCTGATCGTTACGGTTATGACAACTGATGGAAGGTGGTGAGTACTCAGGTGATGGTAGTTAGGTGTAGTTAGAATCTGGCAGACGGGTATCTCAGAAGACCCTGATGTGTGTACCCACATCCTCAGGAACCTGAAACTTCATGTGGTGCGCTGTTTCGATGTGAAGGCGGAAGCCATGGGTATCGCCAAATTTTTAGTACCTATTTACCAGTCTACGACCGCCTCTGTGGTCTAGTGGTCAGATTTACTGGCTACAGATCCAGAAGTCCCGGGTTCGATCCCGGCGCTACCAGATTTTTTTTTCTGAGAAGTAGTGGGTCTGGAACGGGGTCCACTCAGCCTAGTGAGGATAACTGAGAAGCGGTTTCAAGGAAATAGCGACTCCGGTCTAGAAAACCGAGATTAATAGCCGTGGGAATTCGTTGCTCTGACCACGCGACATCCTCTACCCGCTAAAATTGGCACTCACTTCGTCGACAAGCGACAGTTGCTCAGTCGGTATAATTCGCTTGAGGACTACAGGCCACAGGGTTTTTTTTTTTGTTATTTACTATACTACACGGCGTCACATCCCCCGAAGAACATAGTCTAAATAACTTTTCACGACACATATGATGTCTGTTTCTCCCTTACAAGGAAAATAGCACATCCATATAGAATAATGGCTAACACGTAAATTGCATTGTAATAAAAGTGCATTTTATAAAGCAGTGAGTAGATGCGCTGATGTTATACAACGACGACTCTCACGTTTCCATGGTAACATTCCGTGCAGTACACAAGAAAATTACTCAATTTTCCCCTTGAAATGTCGCCGTCTAGACTGTCAGATCCTCTTTTATTTCTCTGAATACGTTCTACTGTAAAGGCAATGACGGGAAAGAAAATATTGCATTGTTTGCGACAGAAAGAAGAAGGCGCGTGGGAGAACATTAAAATCGACGTTAGAGCAATGTATTGTGAAATTGTGAAACCGGATTGATTTGACTGAGGGTGACTTCTCTGTACACTGCAATGAGATATGTAGTTCTATATATAGGCCCTACTGGATCAGTAAATATACTGATCAGTTGACACGTAGCAGGAAAACTGCCTGATCATTGTTGTTAGTGATGTGGTTGTTTAATTGAATAGGTTGTATGTCATGGAATTGAAAAGTTATTATGAATTATGTCCTGAGAATACTGTAGAAGAATGTTCAACCATTTGCTTGGAAGGACTGGGGTCGAAGCAAGGGTATAGTCACTGTATTCGTTGATGCAACATTAATAGTTGTCTTCTAATTAATCAATCGTTTATTATCGCATAGATATATCGTTCATTTTGTCAACTGAAATTGAATTAAATGCGTTTAAAGGTCTCTATAGGCAAATTTAAGTTCTTGGAATAAAATATATACTTGATTAATATATATAATATTAATTTAAATATTTTTAGATATTGTATGATTTTAGGTTCAGAGAGCCGCGATAGGGTAGTCGGTATAGCTACTGGATACGGGCTGGACGACCAAGGGGTCGGAGTTCGAGTGCCGGTGGAGAAAAGTTCTGGACAACATGGATGTCCAGACCGGTTTTGGGCCCACCCAAACTCCTATCGAATGGGTATCGCGGGCTCTTTCCCCGGGGATAAAGCGGCCAGGGCATGAAGGTAACAATTCACTTCCAACTGGTATCGAGATCAAGAAAAAATGGCTCTATAATTCCATTCCCGCACACATCTTCGTGACATAATGCTTACTATGTAAAGTATATGGAAGATTTTATTTTTTATTTTATGGCTTTAGTCTATTGCATGACAAGCATACGTTAATTTGAGATTTATAAAGGGTAAAGCTGTCCCTGTACCAGGCCGTGGAGGCCCATAGGGTTGTGAGATGTCGCGGCTCCCACATTTTGTAGAAAATCGGCTCACAGATGGCAGCGAAGTTGTCAGCCTTACGCGCCAGCCGCCCTTTACTCAAGGAAGAAGCCCGGTACTCATTTCTGTTAGTGGCTGAGTCGACCCTAGGGCCATAGTGCGACTAGAAGGATTAGGTCAATTGAAAGATCCAATGACCCCATCGGGAATCGAATCCGCGTCTTCCCGGCTTGTACCATATTTCCTCAACCAACTACGATACCGCGTACCCCATTAATGTCAGATTATAACAGATAAAGAAACATAGATTTGTGCCTTAATGACTGGGCCATGCAGACGTATAAGGACACTAAGATTCTGCTCCACCATTTCTTATAGTCTGCACTAGACAGAGATGAATAATCTACTTCACGTTCAGGCCACCCAACCTTTAAAAAATGAATTCTGATTATGCATTGGATGGGCTTTAAAGCCCACATGGACACATTTTTTTTATTACTAGTGGGGTGGGACTAAGTCCCTTGTACTGCGGCCACTTCAGGCCTATTGTACCAGCCCCAGATGATAAGTGAGGGTGATTGCGGAGCAATTGGTGGAATGAAGATTGGCAGGGGAAATCGAAGTACTCGGAGAAAACCTTCCTCAGCGCCACTTTGTCCACCACAAATCCCACTTGACCAGACCCAGGATCGAACCCTGGCCGCCGCGGTGGGAAGCCAGCGATTAACCGCTTGAGCTATGGCGCGGCCATAGTAATGAAGAATATTAGGCTCCCTACTCCTGCAGGAAATCGAACTACAGTCCTCTCACCCGTAGCCAGTCACTGTGCTGACTGAGCTATTCCATCCGACAGAATTATTAACGTTCAACTACATACGAGACAGGTCTAGCTGCAGACTTTGTGGTGGAGGGGGAGCGGAGTTGTGTTTGGTTGTCATGGAGATGACAAGGTCATCAGCTCTTTGAGCTCGCACTGCCAGACACCCCCCAGACAGAACTACCCTCTTCTCATCTCAGCCCCCGCCACCCCCACACGATACAGCTTCCACTGGCAACGCAGCCAGAGGCGAGGTACCTGAACACAGCTCCAGGGAGAAAGGGTGGGGGCGGGACAGGACGAGCCTGGCTGGTAACTAACTACGTAACAACTTAATGCTCCCACAGCGGCAGTTATGAAGAGAGATACAATGCCGTGTAGTCCACTGAAATTCTACAGACGTTTCGGAGAAACATGTCGCCTCCACTTTCAGCGTCTTAGAATAAGCGCGAAATTGTGCTTTCCACCTGCTTCACTCTAGTTTTTTGCTTGGCTTATTCCTCGAATATGAAAATGGAGGATATATGTTCCTCCGAAACGTCAGTTGACTTTCAACGAGTACACGACGATATATCCCCGAAAACATAACTCTTAACAAACTAACTGATCAGACAAAGAACTGACTGATAAGTGAGTGGATGAGAGACTGGTTGCAGCAAGAGATGCTAAATGATTCCCAGACTGAATAACTGACTAATCAACCAACAAACTGGCACCCGATTGTTAACTGTCTAGTTCAACGACTAAGGAATCATCTTGTTGGACGAATGACTGATGAATTCACTACGAAAACAGCTGGATGAATTAATGACAAATTGACTAAGTAGCCAATTGACTGATTACTTTCTACATAACTACGCTACTTGGAAAAAAAGAAAACTGAATGTCAAATAGAGTAAATGACTAATTACCTAAGTAACTTGACCTAAGTTAGGAAGTCTTAATCACATTACCGTAAACGGTTGTAGAATCTTAAATATGACTCAGACCTTAAGCCTAAGCTCCACTAACCTCTCTGAACTGTTCACATTCTGAATTCATTAAAGAAAATGGATCATTAGGTTAGTGTTTTTGAATAGATGTGCCACAACACTTTCAGTAAAAATGCATTTCTACATATTTTATCGACCGTAAAGAAACTGGC